ACACACACACACACACATTACAATAAGATGTACTATATAATAAAAGGCAGAATGTACAAAAATTTGCGAGCACATAGATAGTAATGCATTTTAGCAAAAGTTTAACTTTTACAATAGGCATACATAAGCCGGAAAATTTTATATCAATATATGTAAAATTCTATCATAATCATAGCAATTCAAATGTTTTTGCGCGATAGCATAATTACGTCAACTCTGCGTGTCCTAGATAGAATATTTGAAATTACAAGAAATTACAAATCTGCTAATAATTTCTTTTCGAGAGTATACTAACACCAATTCGCTCAATTCACGCGATCGCTAAAGAAAAGAAATCAACATTTTACACAATTAAATTTAAGAGTATAATTTTTTCTATGCAAAGTCTGGTGAGGTGATTGTCTCGATTATCTTTTGGCCCGAAACAGGATTTGAAGATTAATATGCTGGTTAACTTAATGATGATTGATCTTGAATACATTTGTTTATATGTTTGTAAAATTTTTATTGCTGTGGTAAAGAGTTGCGAGAAACGCTTGATGTTCGTGCAATATCGAAACAGTAAAAATATTTATGATATAATAGGATTTAAAAATGCAAAAGTATATATATAAACGAGTAACAAACGTAAGCTACAAGTGGTGCTTATGTGAATCTTAACTTTAGTGCCCTCAATAAGGGTCAGGAAGAATTGTAGATCCTGTAATTATAAGCGCTCATAATAGGTACGATCATCTCGAGATTGAGTTTTGAAACTCAATATGTGTATAAAAATGAACGAAAGAGAGAGAGAGAAGTTTAGAATTTTTAAGTACATGTATCATGATCTTAGATACTCAAATATTAATGACATTTTTTCATGGCATATTGTCGATGATAAAAATCTGAAGAGGAATAAATTGAGAATTATTGTAATTAAATTGTATTAACGTACTTGCCCGCAGGGGGTGAGTGTAACAACGTCAACATATTTAACAGAAAAACATTAACTTAATGTATTTTATTAAAGTGTACTGCGAATTTCCTTTTCAAATTACGAAAGCATTAACGTAATGTTATTCGAGCTATAGGTTGTGCAGAGGGATACCGACTATATTATCATACGGTCTTTATCCATGTACTTGTGATATTTGCTATTATTTAATTTCTATATAAAAAGAAGCGATTTTTTTCGACGAATTGTTTGCGAAAATAAGTTTGTAAGTTTTTTGTAAGTTTAGACATATACTACGGTATACATCACCTAGGTCGAAGATTTACAATCTTTTTGTCGCAGAAGGAAAACTAGAGGCCCCCGCACAATGAAAAATACAAGGGACAGGGAACAGTTATTAGCGATTACAAATAAAAAATCAGGAATAAAGCTGGAGTAGCATTAATACACGGCTTCCGATAGGTTAAAAATCTATTGCTTGTGTTATTCCCTGTTTCTGTTGCCTGTATTTTTCATCGTGCATCCAACTTTATTCTTGATTCTTTAGTCCTAATTAATTAGGACCGTATTGTTATTGGTTAATATATGCGGACTTTTGATTATTTAGCTTTGCTTAGTCGAGCCAGACCGTATTGTTATTCGTTAATATACGCGAGCCTTTGATTATTTTTAGCTTTGTAGTCGCTAATATCTGTTCCTTGTTCCTTATATTTTTCATTGTGCGGAGGCCTTAACATTCATGTGTATCACCCAGTGAAATATCATTGATAATTTTGATAAACTGCATTTTTTTTTTTTTTTTTTTTTTTTAATAGCTCGTCGCGTGACACTATTTTAAATGCGTCGCAATTGTAAAGGCAAATAATCGATATTTATATTCGCGTTGATATTCGCGGCAAAACCTGAACGCTTCGAATTTTTGTACACTCGAAAGTTTGTTATTGTCAGTTATTATTCCTCGCACCAAACGCAGAAGTTATGTAAATAAACTGAATGAGAAGACATTTGAAACTGTGAAACGTAAAACGACTTGGATTTGATATAGTCACGATGGAAATCAATTTTTTTTTAGAGCGATCTCCTATTATTACCTTGCTTTTAATCCTCGGATAGGAAAAATAGAAAAATTATTATCAAGCCTTAAAACAACTTTTATCCGCAAAATGTATGATTTCCATAGCGACTGCGAAGATCTCATTTTCTTACGATTACGTGGACAACGGAGTTTGTCGAGAACAGATCTTACAGAATGTTTGCTACACATCTTAACAGAAAGGCTGCAGATTTAATGCAAGACTTGTATGCAATGTCGTTGGCATGTTACGTTAATAGAAATATAGCAGAATTTGCTAATAAAATATGACGACAGAGGCCGAACGAAATCTGTAGGATGCAGATACACCGTCCTGTTATGTTTGTAAGTTCTGTTAGTAGAAGTTTAATGCGGATACATTTGATACCAATCTGCTGCCTGTCTACCGTAGTAGAATATTCACTTATACTTATTGGATATGTTGAAAAAAATCTGCAAATCCTTATACGGTCTATTTAGTCAGATATGCATTTGCTATTTTATATAAAGTCAATGAATTGCTGTAAACACAGTAAACACACGTATGCATATGGAATGGAACAGAAACATGAAATATAAATGTTCGCAGAATTATTAATAAAAGAAATAACAATATCTGATGAATCACGAATGTAAGTCTTTATTGATGAAGCATTAAATATTTCGATTCGATAGTACTTGATTTTGATATGTGAAATAAATACATACACGCTTTCTATAAAAAGATGTATATCAAATCTGATTTGTGCTGTAATATATAATACTGTAAAATATAAGTAGCTATAAAATGGGATTAATTTCATCTTTTGTACAGTACATAAGTTACAGTCATTCGATCAATGTTTTATACAAAGTGTCCCCGAAAAGGGGACATTTAGAAATGGTCCCGGGATGTAGATTGACTAGGAACAATATTACCATAAACGCTATTACGATACATCAGTGACTTTCTGAGGTTTCCACTCTAATAACTTCGCAAAGTCTTCTTTCGTTAAGGTGATTTGCCCATTTGCCATCAAATGTATCTACAAAATTATAAAGTTGTAAAAAATTCATATTATGTAATGCCGCACAAATAGAAGAAGTTAATGACAAAATACAATGTACATACGTTTTGTTTCTTCAAATTATCTATGAGTAGCGTCTGTTTCTTAAATGCTTGCACCAATTCCGACCGTTGTTTCTCCAAATTCTTTACAGCTAATCTCTTATCGTCTTGTAACTTTCTGATTTGATTTCTTAATTCCTACAACGTGGATACGCGTTACAGATTTAGATTGTACAGATTTAGGTATATACTTTATTATACCTTCTCTTCTATCTGGCTGCACTTTAAGGCACTTTTGAGTTTCTCGTTGCTTTCTAGAGATCTGTTTAATCTCACATCGAGATTGGTTGACTGTTGATTCAACGTTCTTATCTCTTTCTTAAAACTTTCCAAGTCCTAAAAGGAAATATCACTGTAATAGACTAACAGTTGTGTAACATATAACAAACAGAGGCTATAAAGATACCTTCTTCAAGACAATATTTTCGTTGCTCAGAGCTTGATAGTCTGATAGCGTATCCGAATTTACCCGTTCCAACTTTGTAACTGTATCGTTTAACGTTTCTATCTGATTACGCAGTTTAATTTGAGCGTCGTCAAGCTTCTTCTTCTCCACCTCTAATTCTTTGCAATAATCGCACTATGTATAAACATGATAATTCATAAATTTATTTTCATAAGTCTAAGAATTTTTAGGCAGTTGCATATTTTAATTTTTTCAAACACTCCCTTATTTACAACAGCAAGCGACAAAATGAGAAGAGACATTACCTTATTGTTGTACTCGAGTTGCATCGTTTGTAACTTTTTATACAGCATATCTATCTTGCCCTTGAGCAAAGTGATAACAGCTTTATTTCCGACGTTACTATCTTTCTTTGGAATTTCAGTGTCGTCGATACATTCTACCGATGGAGCTTCAGAGACTTTAATTGACGATGTTCTTAATTGTTTATCTATCCTTAGTGTCGTATCTCCTAAGCGCGCAGCCTTTGCATCTTCCAAATTTGGATTTGCATCGTTAAATAAATTTTCGGTACGGGCATGTATGATTGAATCAACGGTCTTCATTACATCGCGCGTCTTTAGCTGAAGATCACGATTCAGTCGATAGAACTCCTTCTCCTTTGCCAATAAATCATCAGACATGTCTCTAAAATAATATCGTATTGTTGAATTATATACATGCTTGTAATTAAATATGGCAATAATAAAACAATAACTTTCAGTAAGAAATATAAGTCATTCTGATAATTTATCTATTTTAAGTCTGCATTTCGGTTAATATGTGTGACCTGATCTAGCTTAATTATTTCACGTATCCTTATATCGAATGTAAGTTACATATTTGTTACAAATACACGATGGAATTAGGTTAAATATTTGACTTGACCAACTTACGTTCGTTTTTATGGAAATACGTTCATTCAATGCTTCTTTGTAGTAAAAAGGAGGCTTGAAAAGTCGTTAAAAATCGTTGTTTACACCGTGAGAGAAATAATCGGCCACACTATATAAAAGCGACACCTTTTAAGGTTAGAAAATATATTGATGGAATTAGTGTAACATATGATGCAAATAGTACATACATAAATACATTTGAAATTAAATGGAATAATTTAATCGACGGAAAGCAAGGAGCAATGATTTAAAATAACTTCATTTTGTGTAAAAAGTTACAAACTTATTTAAAATCATGTAATTAATTAGTAAAATCGCATGGAATTTTTTTTATTTAGAAGAGGAATGTCTATTCCCTAACACCCAGAATAATATATAAATAAAAGTTAAAAAAAGTTTAATCCGGTAAAAAATTTTTCATATAAAAACGTATGTTACTTTTCTTGTTATATACAAGAAAAATAATAAGAATTTAAAAATAATTAAAAGGATAATTTTCGCATTTTTTTTTTTTTTTTACAAAAGTTATTCTAATTATTTTTTAATTGTAATTATATTCTTTTTAGTATATTTTTCCTGGTATATATATGGACAGATCGATTATACATTAGGAGAAAAGAAGAGAAAAGAAATACATATATATAGATTTATTATGCGAATGAAATATAAAATTTATACGATGCATTTTCAGCAAAGAAAAAAATTGAATTTCAGCCATGCGACGTGTAGGTATAATAACACATATATGCGTGTATATTCAGGCAAGAAACGCTGGAGAAAATTTACAACAAAAGAATTTGGCAACGCAACAATTTTCACGTAAGTACTCCATCGTATTTTATTTCAACAAAATATCCGATCATCAAATATTTTCTCTTTTATCACAGCATGTCACAGCAGTCCACCTAAATGTAAACGTGTACGCATGTAAGGTGATATAAGGGCACGGAATCATTCCTTTCACCCGCGTGCGACAATTTCATCTCCGCCGACTCCTCCAAATTACGCTTCCGGTGTGTAACGAGGTGGCGAATAAGCGTTTCCGGCTCCAAAAATTCGAGGTGAGCGTGTTCAATTGAATAATCTCATTAATCCTGCCAAGCAGACATTGGCAATCGCTTTTGACATTTCGTCGAGTCTTCTTTCGAGTTTCCCGTTTAGCTAATCCTAAACCTAACCTAACCTAACCCTTCTCGTACCGAAAAACGCGAGTGTTATCGTCGTAACACGCGGAAGATCTAATCGCGGAAAGGATCTTCGAAGTACACATCGACCGATCCGCTCGCTTCTCGCCGCTTATCGTCGTATCTGTCATTGTCCAGTTGTCAGTGATATACCCAAGACGAGGAACGTCTCGGACGGCGGCAGCGGTGGGGCTGAAAGGTACTTTTCGCGAGGCATGCGAGACACCGACCGCCGACGTCGATCCTTGTCTAACGAGAACCGACGGGAGACGTAAGGAGAAAAACGTATCAAAGCATGGGCAATGGTACGTCACTGCGCGCACCGTTTTGATTAAAGATGGAGGAGACGAGAGACGAGAGGTTGCTGTCGCGAAGACGTTCCGCCGCTTTGAAGCCGTTCAAAGTTAAGGACGAGAGAGTGGCCACCCTCAAGAAGGTACGCGGCGCGTCGGCCGTCACCGTGCCGATCCCCGCTCGCCGGGCTATCGTTCACGTGAATCGCACGTTTCGAACCTTTGAACCTATTCGCCGCCCAGCAAGATATCCTCTCTGGGATATCGTAAACAAATCTCACTGAAGCGTGACGTTTCTTTTGTCAGGTGGCGGCGATCTTGCACAAGTCCGAGATTGACAGGACGGCGGAGGAAACCGGGATACTCGCCTCGTGCAGCGACGTGGTGAAGGAGGTTAATTTACGGTAATGTGTGGCCATTACGAGGATATTTTTAAGAATTTCGAATAGACGATGCCGTCGTTCGTAGTCAAATCCGCCTTGGAAACGGAGTAAGATCCTGTCCCGGGCTCGCACAGGTTTATCGGATATTTCTGTATTATTTTTTACATTCTTGTGCGATGCTTCACTTACGTGATAAACACGTAAATATATCTTGTTGGTCACAAATTATGTTCTAATAATATAGAAAGATATCTAGTAAATATACATATTTAATACATTAATACCTTTTCATTTTGGTATAGATTATAATTTCCAATGGAATATAAACAAATATAAAATTCCTTTCGTGTATAAATTATTATTAATATATTATATCTATATAATCTATTAATAACGTTTTGCTATGTAACAATTCTTAGTTGCAGTGCAATGTCAATGAGACGCGCATTAACATGCTAACAATATATTCTTTGATGTTAAAGGGAATACAAAATTATGTGTAACTCACTTTATCTGCACTTGCAGGCAAGAGAAACGAGATAAAATAAAGGCAAGATTGGAGGAAGTTGAGGACGCCCCGGAAATCCTGGAGGAAAAATGCATACGCTTGGCAGCGGCGATCAGTAGAGCAACGTCACTCGCGGTGTACACTGGCGCTGGTATTAGCACGGCGGCATCTATTCCGGACTACAGAGGCACTAACGGAGTTTGGACTCGTATGCAACAGGGAAAGGACATTGGGTAGGAATCATTTTAACTGAAACTTAATCTTGCGTGCTAATAATTTTTGTTTTATTTTGCCTTATTAGCTTTCACTATTCGATAAGTCGAGACTGTTCAATATGAAAAATTTCACATATGATGGTCAATAATCTTTCCTTTTTTATTTTCTTTCGTTAATCTTTGTCGACTAGTTGAAACTGCTCAATAAAATTTGCAAAAGATATCCCACGTACATTTCTATTTATATTTCTAGTTACCTTGTGTCCATTGTAGTGATTTACATTTATCGATTGCGCATTTTTATTTACTATTTTGCAAAAATGAATGAAGACAATTTACCGTAAGATCTCTTTGATATTGTACGGTTCAGTACAAATTATCAATAACAATCGTAGCACAATAGATATAATACCTGTCAATAACAATTTAAACAAGAAGGAATATTATATTTATACATTTTTATACATTTTATATTATTTTATATTTATAATCCGTGTATCTATTGTTACACCATTTATCCAACAGGAATCATGATCTCAGTCAAGCTGAACCAACCGTGACGCACATGGCCCTTTACGCATTGTATAAAGCGCGAGTTCTCAAACATGTGGTTTCCCAAAACTGTGACGGATTACATTTACGCAGTGGTATCCCGCGTAATCTTCTGTCCGAGGTGCACGGCAACATGTATGTGGAAGTTTGTAGAGCGTGCAAGCCGTCTAGAGAATATTGGAGACTTTTCGACGTTACTGAAAAGACTGCGCGATACCAGCACGGCACGGGAAGATTATGCCACAGATGTAATTCGATGCTGCAAGATTCTATCGTCCATTTCGGCGAGAGGGGTAATCTGCCTTGGCCAATCAATTGGAACGGAGCGAGTAGAGCTGCGAAGCAAGCGGATGTTATATTGTGTTTGGGTTCTAGTCTGAAGGTTCTTAAGAAGTATCCGTGGTTGTGGCAAATGGACAAGCCCGTGCAGAAGAGAGCCTCTCTGTACATTGTCAATTTGCAGTGGACACCAAAAGACGAGAATGCGGTTTTAAAGATAAACGGGAAATGTGACGAAGTGATGAGGAAAATCATGAGCCACTTGGGACTGGAGATACCGCAGTATAATCGCACAAAGGATCCGATCTTTTTTCATGCGGTAAAGCTTCAAAACGGCGAGCAACTCACCAAGACTCAGCCATGCCTCGAGGAGCCAGCCGTTAAGGAGCCTCTAAGCCAAAGCAGCGATGAGAACGTCTTGCACGCGGTGCAAGAAACCGACAAAGAAGACTGCATATCGTCCATAGCGGTAGCTGATATAACAACCACTTATCCGGCACCATTTTTCGCCGCATTACCATTTCTATCTATGGGCTTGCCATTCCCTCCTATGTACATGTATCCCCAGTTGACGCCATTATTTTATTATCCTTTTATACAAATACCAAACGTGCCAGCGGAGGCACCGAAACCGAAACCAGCGTGTTCGTTTTGTATGGAGCACGAGGGCTCCCTTACCTGTTTGTATTATCAACGTGACGGGGACTGTCCAGCACCGATAAAGGCCGAGAACGAGCAGAAGCAAGAAGAAGGTGCTCTAGTGATTCGCGCGGACACTCCCGTAGCATCTCCAAAGAATCCAGGCTGGTTTGGCAAAGGATATCGTAAGGGTATGAAGAGGAAGCGGTAGCATCCACTCTATGTAAATCTATGCAATATGCTTGGCCGACTATTTACCGGGATTATACAATATAATCTTATATTATACAATATATTTACATACATAAGTATTTAAAGCCTCCATATCATAATGAAACTCGTGGATATTTTGTAGATTTATAGCAATTTGATTCCAGTATTCAAAGCTTTAAAAAAGAAATAGACTGAAATTTTGGAAGTATTTCCTAATGATGAAAAAGCAATCCATTATTTTTGTCCACTTCAAAATAGAAGTTATCGAGCTCTGCCATGGTTATCTAAACTTTCCTCCAAGATAAGCAAACGGAGTGCACATTTTTAATTAAAGATTGTGAACAACAATAGCTATTAATTTTCAACAAAACATTTATCTTTATCTTACTACAAAAATGTTTTTCTCGTTCAGCTTGATTTGTTTCCTCAAATGTACCCCCTATTGTCTGATTTTGTTAGATACTTGATATTATTTTATTCAAGAGAATTGTCGATTTTTATACACCATTTTACTGATCTATTGTACAATTCGGTCATTATTGTAATATATAAATCGTGGTATGTGATGTGTTTCTGAAGGAAAATTTCTTTTTTTATAAATTATGATAAAACGTAAAAATTAAATTATTTTATTTAAATGTATTTGTTTTTAACGTAAAATTGTTTGGTTTATATTCTAATATATGTTTCAAAATTAGTAATTTTAATGGATTTATTATTTAGCACTATTATCAATTTGTGCGAAAAATAATGAAAAACGTTTGTTTTTTGCAACCCAACTTTATATGTTAATATTTTCAAGAATGTCATCCTTCCTATATTTGCAAATAAGTTGGGTCAAGTGTAAAAACAATATAAATTTTGTCCGATAGATATTTATTTATAACAATGGTTATAAATTCAACATATTTCATATACTCATTAGAAACTCTTTTAATAACTTATAGAAAAATTATTTTATTTCTCTATTTATTGTTTTATTTAGTGTCCTTACTCGAATTAATCAAAAGTGGCTTAATACTTGCCCTAGTCGATCATACTCATTCCTGTCTATCAAGTGCGTATTGTAATACATAAATAAATATAAAACTAAATATGTAGGCATTTTATAGTTACGTATCTCTTTTAGGATGTGTCTTAGAATACGTGAATACTAGCGAACATCTCATTGTCATTTAACATATTTTTATAAAGTAGTTAAAAACAAATTTATCATTTTAAGAGCTTCCTAATTTAAATTATTGCTACTGCGCATTATCTATGTTATTTAACTGATATGTATTTCATAGGCATGTAAAGATAGATCTGACATTGGCCAAATGTACCTGTCTTTAACATACCGTAGGAAATATCGAGCCATTTCCTTTCCCTAATTTGTGAAAGTCGTAACTTGTGAGCTACCGGTGTAATTCACAAGATATACACGTAAACTCTTCCACGGAAAAGAAGATGTATTTATTTAACATTTATCTATTCGTTATTTGTAATATATACATGTATTTACAATAGTATGTGCAGATACAATTGGTTATTTGTTTCACTAATGCGCATAGTAAAGGATGTCAAAGAGTCCAATATTTTGCTTTTCTTTTTTTCTTATATTTTAATTCGAACTGTATAAAAATATGTGAGACACTGCCTAGTGTTCTTACATGTTTTAATATGATTTGTTTTTTAATGATTTTATATAATATATTTGTGACTATGTTTATTTGAATTACACTTCTTGGTTGATATCTTGGAATCAATACGATATTCGTAGCATTATATATATATATATATATATATATATATATATATATATATATATATGTAGGAATAAAAACAAATATTCTATGTATATATTTTTATTGAATATCTCTGTATAATTTAATTATTATAATTATTTAAATTATTTGTATTTATAATTGTCTATTGTCTCTCCAAATTGTTTTCTAGAGATTTAAGAAAATATTTACTGCATGAAAATAAAATAGATAGAATAAATAATAAATTTATCTTTTTGATAAAGACAAAATCTAGAAGTAAGGTTTTCCTATTCTAATTTGAAAAGTAGAAATAATAAAAGAGAAGCACAAAAAGTGAATAAAGCAATAACAAAACTGATATATAATGGTATAATTTAAAAAATATTGTTTGGTTAGAGAATTTTTAAATGTATCATTCAACATGTTACGAATATGATATCGGCAATTCTCTTAAAGCAATATATTAATTATAAAATATAATATATTGAATGACCTGATGCAATATGGCAATTATTATTCTTCCAGGTCACTATATATGTACGCAAGTATTGTATACTTAAAAAAATGAATGCTTTTCCTAGAAATTATAACACCATTAACATATATGTGCTGTGTAACGTGTTTTTTTTAAATATAAAAACCTGAATTTTTTCGTTAAAATTTCAGTGCTTACAATTAGATAAGAAAGTTAAAGTTTATGCAACATAGAGTCTGTTTTTTATTGCTGAACTGACTGCACTAGTTCGGAGTTTATCTTTTTTACTCCACATCGGAAGGATTTAATATAATTAGAAACGTGTGTCACTATATCAAGAAAGAAAGTAATATGTGTCTATTTAAAATCTATTTTCGATACAAATGGTCCGCTTTGCGAAAGAAGTCAGATATTTATTACGTTATCGTGCTTTTGTCGCTTTATCTTTATCTCTTCTTTTTTCGTGAGAGAATGTTTCTCGACTTTATAAACTTTCACGATAAATGAAATATCGCTCAGGTACAATCCTGTATACGTCTTGTTAGATATCCTAAGAAATTCTTGATTATTAAGATCTTCGCTCAAAAGCAAAATTTCACATTTACTGAGATGAGCCTCTGGACGCCCCGGTCCTGAATGAGCTTCAGAAAATTTTAAACGTCAACTCATTAAAAAATTATTACTGAATGAAATAGGTAAGGGTTGATAAAAGGGGGCCTAATTCCATTGATCTTGATACACGTTATTAATTCTACATTATTAATTCTACTCGCCTAGTTTCTTTTAACGTATGTAATAGCGTACAAATGTTGGAAATAAACTATGTTACGTTATAGAAATGAAGTGAAGATAAAAAATAATTTAAAATATATGTCAAAGAGATTCAGAGGATTAAAAATCAAATAAGAAAAAATAGGAGCTAATTAATTGTAAATTTCTTTTTTAATTAGAAGCTTTTGCGATCAGAGTCCAGGACAAGCCTTGAACGGGGGGCATGCAAAGGGATTAATATCGGGGTTCGCGCGGGTCTCGCGTCGGCACTGGCGGGACATGCACGCGAAGGAGCGAGAGCGAGAGGAGTATCCCGAGTATCGCTCTCGCATTCACGGGCGCGGGCGTCTGATGGGGTCGGCCCTCGTCTCTCCTTGTCGCTCCCATCCCATTGTTAGCCGGTGCAAAACCCAACCCCGGCTACCCGGAATTTCGTCGCCGGTGACGAATCGTCATTGAACAGCTTCCCCGGCGGAAAATTAGCCGAGGCAGCCGTTATTGCAGGACCTCCGCGGCGGAGCTCTTGCGTCGAAATCGCGACGCTCCACGATCCCGCGCTCGAGGTTCTTCGCCGTCGCGGTGCTCGGCGTCTTTGAACGGACGAGCGGTGGTGAACGTCAACGACGAGGAGAGAGTGAGAGAGAGAGAGAGAGAGCCTACGGCGAAGCAGGGAACCGGGACTCCGGGAGGCGGAAGAATGACGCGAGGTGCGCGCGAGGTCGCCGTCAGGAGTAGTACGGCCGCCCCGTCTCCGTGAACCGCGTCGGGGAGGTGGTGATCCATTCGGGCGAGCGACGTGCAGCAGCGGAACCCGCGGACATTGGTGAGTCGAAACACGTAGTCGGGAAAAAGCCGCGCGTGGGGATGGCATAGGGAGGCGGAGAACGACGGTGTGCGGCACTGCGGCTGGCGGCAGGGCGACGGAGAGGCAGGTAGAGGTGTTGCGCGTATGCAGGGGGAACGGGGAACGTGGAGAAAGGACGAGGAGGCCGTGAGAGAGAAAGAGAGAGATAGTGATAAAAGGAGAGAGGGGGAGAGAGGCCTACGACTTGTCGCCATGGTGATTCCGTGCAGCATCGCTGTATCGCCGCACGAACTTGTATATCTCAGGACCTTGTCCTTTGATTCGTTCTCTTTTAAAGGTAGTTACGCCCTAAAGCTTTCCGTCCTAAAGATGCCACTTGTAAACGACCGCGATATCATTTTGTTTTTGTTCTTCGAATAAAACAGTCGTTTTCTACATATTAATGATTTTCGAATGTATTCAGATGTTTGAAAAAAGAATGATTGGACGATATAATATTCTCTCAGTAGTTCGAATGATTTTAGAAACGATCGAGAAATCATCAATGTCGTTTTAATTATACGCAGATTTCAAGAGAATTTTAATCTCGGTTTAATTTATTTTTATCTTCTTCTAATTTTGAAAATTAGAACAATATAAGAATAAGTACTTAAGTTGAACCGAGATTAAATTAAGTTAATCTACATCGGTAAAAATGGGTATGAAAAGATTTGTTTTAAATTTTTATTCAATTGGTCATCCGCGGTAATATCTTTTAATTGTAGCCTCGATTTGAATTATCACGAGAAACATGAGATTAATTGCGATACCAAATAGCATTGAGATTGGAAAGGGAAATTAAATTAAGGACGCGCGAATTGTGCAATTAGAAATTCCGTTATAAACTCTCTAATTAAAACTTCCGTTACAAACTGCAAATTGTATTAATCGCCGATTAAATTTATTTAAATTTCGATGAAAGTCATTCTTATAAACTTCGTCAATTTTAACATTAAACAGCTTAAAAAAAAATGTCACGAATTATATTTATGCTTTCGAGGTATCGATTATGAATAATCGATTTTTGAAATCGATTATTTTGATCTACTTTCAAGTTCGCGGAATAAAACTTTTCTATCGATCGAATAACACATAAATTATATCTCGCAATAACTAAAGAATTTTCCCCGTTTATCTTTATTTATAGAAGACGCAAAGTATTATCATAATGTTTATTTATTTCTTTTCGAACACCGCCTGTCCCCGTCCGCGATACATACGCCATTGGCGATTACTACAATTACACCGACAGCTCGTACACCCTGGCGGCGGTTTCGGGGACTAATCGGCACTCTCGTGTCGAGAAGGCACCGCTGCACCGCGGTGAATCGCGTGTCTGGTGCTCGGTCGTCGCGTCGCGCGTCGCACCGCGTTTCCCCGTGCGCAAGTCGCGTTGTGCGAACGCTCATTAAACGTTTCGTGTGTTGTCCTTCGCCCCCGCGGTGCGTGCGGTTTCGCGTGTGCCGGAGCAGCGGGCTCGGGGGCGCGCGCAGGGGGGAGGCGATTACGGAGTCGAACGCAGCGCGCGTGGGTGACAGCGTCGCGCGCGTGCCGCGTTGGAAGAGAGTACGCCGTATACTCGGAGACGGATTCCCGAATACTCTGCGGAAGAAAGGAGAGAGAGAGCCAACAGCGAACTCGCGCGAGCGCGCGCGCGCGCGCGCGAGAGAGAGCAATGGCGCGTGCGGGCCGACGCGCCGCGGGTGCGACGTGTACACGGCGCGGCAGATGATACCGCGGCACCCGGATCCGCGTGGTATGTTGTTTACGTTGCGCGCGGGGATCTCACGTACGTGTTTACGACGGCGCAGCGCGCTGCTGCCCACCGAAGGAGACCTCGAGCGCGAGCAGCCGCGTCGTGAGCCGCCATGAGACGCATCAGCGGTAAGCTCCATCGTCACGAGATCTCTCTATACGTGCCGAACGTTACCTCCTCGTCCCCCCGTGCACGGTTTCCTCGGCGTCCTTTCCCCCCTCCTCCCTCCCTCCCCCTCTACTTTTCGTGAAAACGGGATTCTCCGCGTCCTCGCCGGGAACGATCGTTCCTGACTTTCGCCTTTCCGTATCGAGATCGATCATGTTACATTGGTCGGTACTTCGCATTTCGCATATGCTTCGTGTATGCATGTGTGTGT